TAAAATAATAATAATAATAATAATAATAATAATAATAATAAAATTTAAAAACAAAATTTTTTCATTATTTTAACCTTACTCAGTTACCTCAATTCGATAACTTTTCAATTTTAAATGGCATTCATCGAATGAAATTGATTATTATTATTATTATTATTATTATTATAATTAAAACTATATTTTTTTAAATGCCTACATTCAAGACAAATAATTTATAAATCTAATAATAAACAAACAATTATTTGGCTAAATAAACTATGCAAAATTATTTATTTATTTTTTTCTCTCTTTCTCAGAAGGAAACCTAAATAAACGATTAAAAAAAAATTAAAAAGCTAAGTAATAGAAGAAAGAAAAAGAAAGGCAAAAAAGACAAAATAAGAAATATACAAAAAAGGTTTGATTAAATAAAATCGAATCGATATAACGATGTGATTGATAAATAATAATAATATTATGAAAAAAAAAAAAAAAAAAAAAAAAACGACTAGAGTACTACTGAATTATGGTCAACCAATGAAGTTAATGGACCCACCACTCCGCCATCATGTTTTTTAAGTTTTTCAATTTCGTAGTGAACTTCAACTGATAAACCTGTAAAAATTTACACCAAAAAACTATTTTTTACGAAAAAAAAAAAAAAAAAAAAACAGAGACAATAAAGTACTTTTTACTTTTGTTTGTTTTTTGTTTTGCAACCGAATTAGTGTCATCCATGATGGCTTTTCCAAAAAAATTTTCATAACGTAACGTTCATCATGCATGATGTTTTTGTGAAAGATAATAATAATTATTATTAATTACCTGATTGCCTTCGAGAAACTGCTTTCAAACTCGTCGTGTTCAAATCCGATGGTATAAATTCTGCGACTAACAAAGCACACATGACCAGCATGGCGCCAAAAACAAATGGAGGCCCGGGTATCATCTTAACAGTCAAATAAAAAACAAAATTAAACAAATTTAAGACATTTTTTAAATTCAACACATTTTATCCAATCAATATTATTATTATTTTATTTACCTTTGGAGCATTTTCGATTATTCCAACCGTTTTATTCGTCATCTGATAGTGATCGACTGGTTTATCGTCTAAATCGACGTGAAATAAATAGAATATGACTCCGAACATGGCGGGACCCAAACCGTTACACAACCCTCGCATACCCGTAACCATTCCTTGTACTAAACCTTGTTTATCAGCTTCAGAATGCAAAGACACGAAAGCACTAATAGCTGGATATGTTATACTAGAAATTGATGCAAGTACTCCTGCCGCCCACATCATCCTGCAAAAAAAAAAAAAAAAAAATTAATTAATAGGGATAACTGTACACAAAATTGTATTTTTTTTGATAGTGCGTCCGACGACGAAATAAATTTTATACTTACCAATATTGAGATCCGAAACCGTACCACATAAGCTGAAGCATTTCAAACAATAGCCCGACCATTATTGTGCGTTTGGGGCCAAGAGAACGCATCAAAATGCACAAAACAGTTTGTGCCACCACCGAAAGAATACCAATCACCGCTATATACACGGCCACGTTAAAAACAGAGAATCCAATAACCTATGATAATTACAAAAATGCTTTCTTGTATACTTTTATGGCATCCAATTATGATTACAGAAAATTGTTGTTATTTTTCAATTCAAAAAAGCTTTCTAAAATTTTCCCTTAAAACATTTTTCACAATTATTATTAAAAAAAAAAAGTAATAATAATAATAATAATAATAAAGATATTTAAGTAAGTAATTACAAATCTGAATTCATCGTAATAAATTATTTTATAGCTAGCCATAAGTTAGCTGTTTAAAAGTAT